AGTCCATACTACAGCAACTGGTTATTATCATTCTGTCACTGAAAATCCCAAAGGATGCTTCTTAGACTTCTAGGGAGATGATGGTGGTGATAAATACACATGTAAAATACTTACTGCATGGTAGGGCTCAGCAACAAATGAACGAATAAAGAAGAGGAATGGCCACCATTTATTAATGAAAATTACTAGTATCTAGTATCTGGTACCAGATGCTGCACAAAAACGTTCCTTGATCCTAAAAATATCCAAGCAAGGTGTTACTATCTCCCTTTAAAGATGAAGTGACTATGGCTCAGAATCATGACCTCCCAAAAATAACCTCTCTATTAAGTGATAGAGCTATGAATTGAATCTATATCCATTGTCTTTTAAGCCCAAGCACTCAATCCTTATGCCATGATATCTCATTGGGAGGGAGGAGAAGAGGGAAAAGGAAAAAGGGAGGAAAAAGAAAACCAGATGGATGAGAGAGAAAGAAGAGAAGCTTGAAAGACCACTGTATCATAAAAGTCATCAAGTTCCACAAGTTCTATCCTAGTCCTTCCTATGTGCCAAGCATTATGCATACCCAAGGGATGCAAAGTTATTTTAGACATGAGGTACAAACAGGAAGTATTTCCAGGAACAATATTCCAGAGTTAATTCTGAGACTAATATACAGGCATTTGGGTTAGTTCTTCCACAGGGGTGAAAAGTTGGGTAAGACTGTTTAGTATGGGAGAACCTGGTGGTAGAAAGGAATGACCAAACTAAACATCTGAGCTGCTCCATGACCAGCAGTGGCCCCCTTCAGCAACTTTAGTCAGGGATCAGACAATATATGACTCTCAGTGCACACCTAAGCTGGTCAAACATTGTCCTGGTGGCTCATTCTTCCCCATGATATTTTCTCCAGACATACCATCCTCTCCTTTAGAGAAGTGACTGGAAAGAAGGAAAAACCTTCATTTGCATTTAGCCAGAAACCAATTCTAGAACTTTGAAGCAGCATCTAAAAGCTCCTAAAAGTCTTTCATCAGTTCCAAAGGTTACTTAAGGTTTAGCAAGAGAGTTTACAATTTTAAAATATCCAAGTCACTTCAAACTGTAATGACTGTAGGGAAAACAAGCTGTGAGAATAGCAAAGGTGTTGGGAGATCCCCTTAAAGGGAAGTGAGGATTATGGTGGATAGACTACGCATTGGACTGACTGACTAGACATGTGATGAAAGACTGTGAAAACGATACTATTATTTGGTAGTTCTGTTGTTTTCTTCTTTTAGAAACCACAATTTAAATTTTTAAAGTCACTCTTGCCCTGCATTTACATGGGGATAACTGGATACAATAAGTAAGATTCTAGCAAGAACTATTGAACATTTTTGTTCTGATCATATTGGCATTCACTTTCCTCTCTGACTCAGATCAGGGCTAACACAAGAAAATCAAACATCTGGGAGCTAAGAATTCCTTATCTGTCTCTGGTCTGAAGAACCAATGAGAGAGAGCTATGCTCACCATCAGCCGGGTGGTGACAATCTTACAAGTAAAGCCAGTTTGCAGGCAATCTGTGTTTTGTCAAGTTATTTCTTCCTCCTGTGAAAGGTTTGCCTTTATTTACATTGATTAAGCCACAGTGTTCCTGTCTAAGAATATTTTTTAACAATTATAAATTTTTAGAGACTTCCACATATATATACTCAAACTCTCTCTCACACACTCTGAAAACACCAACAGTGCCTTAGTGTGGGTTGTTATTTTTCAGCTCTGTCATATTTCTTTTGTTAAGAAAGAAAATTTCCAAGCAACATTCCACTAAGAAACAAGAAGCTTGGCTCGCTTGATCTGGAAAACCAAGACTCACATCTTGAAATGCTGTGGATGTTAAAGAAAATGAAGTGTGAGCTTCTCTGCTGGTGGAGAGAGGGGGAGTGCTAAACATGTACAATGTCCTATGCAGTTGTTCGGACATAATGAACAGAGAGGTTTTACGACCATCTCTATGCCTTTGCTGGTAAGTGGCAACAAGCAGAAAGGTAAACTGAGTAAATCACAGGGGACAGTAGCACCAGTCATGAACAAGTAACCCTTAGAAGGGGCATTTAATGCTAATGATCAAGAGGCCCATGTGTAGCTCACTAATTAACAAAGGTTCCCTTTTGTTAGAAATGATCTAATTTCACAGTGACCACAACAGTCAACTGTATCAGTGGGGAAGCTTCTGTGCCAACATCTTCAACATTTTATATTCCAATGTGGGGAGAGGTTAGACTCTTTCCTATAATACATAAAAAACTCAGTTTTCTTGCCAAATGCCCACAGTTTGAGGCGTGATTGGTAGAAGCATTTCTTCCTACTTTATATTTCCCGCTTGCATACACATGTGCATACACACCAGCTTATCACTCTTCTCCTTAACTATTTTTCTAGACTCGAAAATCTGTCGCTTTAGCTTTGATCCTAATTCCCATATGATACAGGTTTTCCAAAATGTGAGTTCTTAAATTGATGGTAATTGTTTTTAATGGTTAAAAACAATTCAAAATAATGACAGATCCCTAGCTATTTTCTTTTGAGAACTTAAGTAATTTAATGGGGATGATTTAAAAAAAAAAAAAAAAAAAAAACTTTTATGGCCAGGTGGCTCTAGGGGATATTTTGTTGAACACTGATTAAAAATAATTTCTTCTAAATGAGACCTGACCACAAAATGGAACCATTAATGGGCGGGACGTGTCACTAAAGCGGAAACCATGCCTGATTGCCTCTTGTACCTCCCACCACACAAGCATTTTCTTTTTCTTTTTCTTCTCCTTTTCTTGTTCTTAATAGCAGAGTAAATAAGCAGCCAGTGAGGCCTAAATGTTTTCGGCCAAAAACAGAGTCCAAACTCCTCAGAGAAAACATTTGGCCTCTGTGGTTTTGTAATATGTTCCAGAACACCGAGTTCAGTGAAGAACATTGTGAAAAACTCCCATCCATTGGAATGATGCTGGGGAATGTTACAGTATCAGAAGTTTCAATTGGTCCTTTTCCTGCAGGCCCATAATGAGGCTTGTTAAAAAAAAAAAAAAAAAAAAATAGTGCTATGTGGAAGTTCTCATGGGAAAAATGAATGGCAAGAAATCCTAGCTTTAAAAGAAACAGCTAATCTGCTAGTTTGATTGTTCTTCAAAACTTACGCTGAACCAATGAGCCTAATTAAAAACACTTGGCCTACTTCTATAAAGCATCATAGCTTTCTCTATGCTTCGTTTGTATACACCACAAAACTCCAGATAGACTATTATTTTTTCAAGTGCTCACTAACAAAGTGCTGACTTTGTTGGGATGGCTGAGTTAATTTCTTGAACTCAGTGTGAAACCTTAGCTAAACAAAATTGTGGTAATTTTCCTTAATTTGTAAAAGTGATTGGAGTGCAAACAAAATTTTCCTCTTGGGTCAATCCTATAATTTTCAATTAACTAAAACTAATCGTCAGGCAGGCACCAAACCTGCATTTTGTTTAAAGGACTGGGAGGCATTTCCAAGGGTCATGATGCATTAATTGTTTTTTATAATTTTGAGAGAGATTGTGACTGACTAAGAAGCATGGTTGGTTTTGCTCTGTGTATTAAAATTGGGGGAAAAAATGCTTTGAGGTAAAATATCACAGCAAAAATAAAATTTATCCATTTAATTGTATGGTTATAATTAGGATGTGTTCATAGGGTTAATAGAGTCATTCTTTCATTGCTCAAGGAGTCTCTTTTTATAAAAGCAACTTCCACTCTCTCCTGAATCTTGCCTCATTGTGGCCCTTTATTGAATGAAGAATGTAACCCAGAACCAGTTTCTAGAAACAGCTACCCAGGAATGACTGATACTATGCAGAGGTCCTAGAACTTCACTGCTCAAAGTGTGATCCTTGACTAGCATTCTCAGTCCAATGCAGAATCTCAAATACCCCCCAGACCTAATGAATCAGAATCTGAATTTCAGGAAGATGTTCAGATGTATGGTTTGCACATTACAATTTGAGGATCACTGTCTTAGAGTAAACACTGGGCACTCAGATGATGCACTGGATGTATAGTCACAGAGAACCTATCTGGTTCTCACCATCTGATGGGAAGGAATTCATATTCGCCCTGTAACCCTAGATTCCTACCACAAGGTGGATCCATGTGCCAGGACTGTTCTGAGAGGACAAAATGCAGATGTTGTTATGTGCGGTGGAGTCGGCCCCGACTCATAGTGAGCCCTCCTTGGGTTTCCGAGGTGGTATCACTATAGAAGTAGGATTGCCCAACCTTCCTTCCGAGGAGTGGCTGGTAGATTTGAACTGCCAGCCTTCTAGTTTGCAGTCAAGTGCCTTAGGCGCTATGCTACCAGAGCTCCTACTGGGGAAGAAAACACCAACCCAGAATTAAATATGAAAACCACCAAGTGTATTTATTACAAATGCTATAACCAGACTAGAACAAGTTGTACTATTAATTAAAGCACACCTCTACACCATAAAGCAAACAAACCCCAGTGGAGCTAGTTTAGCATCCAGAAAAACTCAGGCTTATCAGGAATCCCTTTTCCCTTCATGTCTCATCTTGCTTCTTTAATTATTCAACTAATCATATAAACTGAGAGATAGCTCAAACTAAGCTCAACTGTCATTCAACATGGATACTCAACTAAATTCTTGAAAACAAACTAACTCACTGCCATCGAGTCAATTCGACTCATAGCGACTCCTCCTTGGGTTTCTCAGGTGGTAGACCTATGGAAGTAGATTGTCCAATTTTCCTTCCGAAGAGTGTCTGGTGGGTTTGAACTGCCAGCCTTCTAGTGGGCTGTCAAATGCCTTAGGCACTACACCACCAGAGTTCATAACAAACTAATTTAAAATATATATATATATATATTTGATCATACATATGGTGACATGGAGAAAGAAAGATTGACACATTTATGCACACAAGACAAAATGAAACATCTGTGAGACCAAAGCAGGTCTGTGTTCACCATCAGCAGTAGTTCTTACCCGTGTAAATGAATCTTCCTGGAGTCCCTTTGCAGAACTGTTTGGATTTGTAAGACAATGTAACTTCTACCACACCAGGGATGTGCCGAGGAGGGGTCTGCACACGGATGGCATGAGGAGTAATCAGCTGGAGGAGAGATTGGGGGAGAAATTGTCATTGTAATGAGTAAAGGTCCCATTTCACAGGTTTCCTATCAGCTCTCAATAAACCAAGCTTTAAAGTACATGGTTAACTTGTCACTGCTTAAATATAAAGGAGCTGTGGTGGCACAGAGGTTAAGATTTTTGGCTGCTAACCAAAATGTTGGTGGTTTGATCCCAACAGCCACTCCATGGAAGAAAGATTTGGAAACCCTATGGGGCAGTTCTAGTCTGTCCTATAGGGTTGCTATGAGTCAGAACTGACTAGATGGAAGTGGGTTTGGGGCTTAAATACAACCTTGTTGAAACTGTATAAAAGACACTGACAACAATATTTACAAGATCTCTGCATATAGCCAGCACACCATTATCTGTTTTCCTACCCGGCAGGCGCTCTGCTTCCTGGTTTGAAAAGTGAACCTGGCCTAATGAAATGATTTGTCTAACACAGGATATCCTCTGGAAAGCCTCTGTTTGAAGCAGACACCCAAATCAGAGCTGAGCTCTGCCTTTCCAGAAGTTGGTGGGTCTGGTGTTTGAACTGAGCCCTTGGACATATGGAAAACACAGAATTAGGAAAACAGTGTGCCAAGGCACACTGATTAGCTGCAAAACACACGTACGAAATACCCCTGAAGACCATTTGGTGCATTAATTGACAGAGGCACAATCAAAGAGCTTTGAAAGGGAAACCAACAAATCTGCCTCCCTCAATTGCCTATGGATCTGGCCGTCCTAAGCACTGTCCATAAAGTGAAATGGAAGGTTGGGGAGAGGGCAGCAGAATGATCATTGGTCTATTATGCAAAGCCATGTGCACAGTGAGAAAAGTTCACTTCTGAGCCCTGTTGGCAATTGGATTACACTGTGAAGCGGAATTTATTTTTTATTACTCTTATCTTTGTTTGTGTAACTAAAATGTTATTAATGGCCATAAAATTGGCATTATCTGGGTCTTTGAAAAATCCAGCCCTGGTATTTGACTGGTTGACCTCTACTGGTGCTGGATTCTGTATGTTATCTCTCTCTAGTGTCTGCAATTGCCCACTCCTTGCCTCCTTACAGATTCACTTAGCATGTGCATACTGAGTCAATGTGCAATGGATCATCACATGCGTTTGTCCTAAATTATATTTATGCTGTTCTTACAGGGCCAACTTAGAAAGAGCTTGTATTTCAACATGCAAACCAGGTCCAGTTCATGTGTTTTGCCCAGAGATTCACAGATGGCAACTTTAGCAGCCAAATACCAGCCCCTGGGTCACAGCTGAGTATACTGCCCTCACAAGAAGCCCTGGGAAAAAGCACGCAAGAAAGTTGTTGCTGTTAAAGTCCACCAGCAATTTCTGTCCAATGCTCATGAAACATGAAGAAAAGGCCATCTGCGTAAAAAAAAAAAATATTTATTACATCAATTTTTGTTGTTGTTGTTATGTGCCGTCGAGTCGGCCCCGACTCATAGCGACCCCTCCGAAATACTTTATCCTCCTCCATAGAACATATAGTACCTTAGTTTCTTTGCTAAAGGTATACAAAAGATATTTTAGGAAGCCATGTTTATATGGAATTCCTGGAGACTGAGTTGCTTTCATTGGCTGAGTGTATTCAAGTTTACTCATAAAAATGAAGAAAAAAAAAACCCTAAAAACACCTTCATATTGAACTTTTTCAAAAATGCAATACATATGTCCTAAAATAAGCAAAATAATTTCCTTTGTTTGCAGGTGTTGTCGACTCTCAGTTCTGACTAATAGCTACCCCATGTAAAACAGAACAAAACACAGACTGGTCCTGTGCCATTCTCACAATCATTGCTGTTTGAGCTCATTGTTGCAACACTGTGTCAATATATCTCTCTAGAAGGTCTTCATCTTTTTGTTGACCCTCTACTTTACCAAGTATGATGTCTTCCTTCAGGGACTGGTCCCTCCTGACAATATGTCCAAAATACATGAGATAAAGGCTTGCTGTCCCTGCTTCTAGGAGCTCTGGTGGTGTAGTGCCTAAGGCATTTGACTGCTAGCCAGAGGCTGGTGGTTCAAACCCAGCTGCCACTCCTTGGAAGGAAGGTTGGGCAATCTACTTCCATAGTGATACTGCCTCGGAAACCCAAGGAGGGGTCACTATGAGTCTGATTTGACTCGACGGCAGTGAGTTTGGTTTGGTTTTGGTATCCTTCTTCTAAGGAGCTTCTGGCTATATTTCTTCCAAGACAGATGTATTTGTTCTTCCAGCAGTTCAAAGTATACCTAATATCCTTTGCCAATACTATAAATCGAATGTATCATTTCTTCTCCAGTCTTACTTATCCATTGCCCCTTATCCATTGCCCAGCTTTCATATGTACATAAAAAGCAACTGAAAAAATCATGGCTTGGATCAGGCACATTTTAGGCATTGAAATAACATCTTTGTCTTTTATTTATTTTTTTGTTTTGTTTTGTTTTAATTGTGATTTGGGTGAAAGTTTACAGATCAAATTGTTGTCCATTCAGCAATTCATACACATTTTGTTTTGTAAAATTCATTGCAATCCCCACTGTGTAAGAGCACTCTTTGCACTTCCTTCCTGTGTTTGCCATTCCCTTCATCCTTCTTTCTTATCCCTTCCTGCCTGCTTAGCTTTATCTCTGGGCCAATGGTGCCCTTTTGAACACTTATGGATTGTTCTAATGATTGCATATCTTCCTGATATTATTGTTCACCTTATAGACCTATCATTTGACAGGAAGTTGAGCCACCATAGGGGTGAGGGAGTGGTTTGAGGAGGTAGGATTTAAGTTCCTGACCTGAAAGATGACTAAGGGCCATAGTCTCAGGGATTCCACCAGTCTCTATGAGACTTTTGTGTGTGTGTGTGATTTTGAGTTTTGTTCACATTTTTCTCTCACTCTATCTGGACCTCCTATTGTGATCCTTTTCAAAGTAGTCAACAATGGTAGAAGGGCACCATCTAGTTCTTCTGGTCTCAGGGTCTTGGAGGCTGGGGTTCACGTAGTCTATTAGTCTTTTGGTTTAATTATTTCCTTACATCTTTTATTTTCTTCACTCTTCTTTGCTCTGGACAGGAAGAGAGCAATAGTTGCACCTTACATGGCTGCTCATGAGTTTTTAAGACCTCAGCTGCTATTCACCGAATTAGGATGTAGAACACTGTCTCTGCAGACTATGTTATGCCAATTGACCTCAGTAACACTTTAAAGGGGTCCTTTGCAGCAGATTTGCCCAATGCAACACATGGGCTGATTTCTTGACCACTGCTTCCATGGGTATTGATTGTGGATCCAAGTAAAATGAAATCCCTGACAACATCAATCTTTTCTCCATTTATCATGATGTTACTTATTGGTCCATTTGTGAGGATTTTTGTTTTCTTTATTTTGAAGTATAATCCACATGGAAGACTATCATCTTTAATCTTCATTAGCAAGTACTTCAAGTCTTCTTCACTTTCAGCAAGCAAGGTTGTGTCATCTGCATATCACAGGTTGTTAATGAGTCTTCCTCTAATCCTCATGCCACCTTTTTCTTCATGTAGTTCAGTTTCTTGGACTATTAGCTCAGCATACAGATTGAATAAGTATGGTGAAAGGATGCAACCCTGACACACACACACCCTGATTTTAAATGATTCAGTATGCCCTTGCACTGTTTGAACAACTGCCTCTTGGTCTATGTACAGGTTCCTCATGAGTACAATTAAGTGTTCTGGAACTCCCATTCTTTGCAATGTTCTCAATAATTTGTTATGATCCATACAGTCAAATGTCTTTGTACAGTCAATAAAAAACAGGTGAATATCTTTGTAGCATTCTCTGCTTTCAGCTAAGATCCGTCAGACATCAGCAATAATATCCTTCATTCCACATTCTCTTCTGTACTGCTACAACCATTTTTCAATTATCTTCAGCAAAATTTTGCTTTTGTGTGATATTAATCATATTCTTTCATAACTTCTGCATTCTATTGGGTCCTCTCTCTCTGGAATGAATATAAATATGGATCTCTTCCAGTCAGGTGACCAGGTAACTGTCTTCCAAATTTCTTGGCATAGATTAGTGAACATTTCTAGCATTGCATCCACTCATGGAAACATCTTACTTGATAGTCCATCAATTCCTAGAGCCACTTGTTTTTCACCAATACTTTTAATGTAGCTTGTACTGCCTTCCTTCAGTACCATTGGTTCTTGAAATTTCACTTAGCTGTGATAAATCAAGATCATCATTTGTAGTACTCCTTATTATATCTTGCTATAATATACAAAAGCCCTAAGGGACTACTGAGGCATGAAGGGCTGTTTTTCCCCTACACTAAATGGCCCCAGATGGCTGTGGCTTTTTGATTATTTCTATCTTAACTAGTTTCTCTGATTTTTTCCCCCCTCAGGACTTTCTTTGCATCTTCCAATCTGCTCTTCTAATCTATAAGTCTGTTGTTGTTGTTATGTGCTGTTGAGTCGGCCCCAACTCATAGCGACCCCTCCTTGGGTTTCTGAGGCAGTATCACTACAGAAGTAGGATTGCCCAACCTTCCTTCTGAGGAGTGGCTGGTAGGTTTTAAACACCAGCCTTCTGGTTAGCAGTCAAGTGCCTTAGGCACTATCCATAAGTCTAGATACCAGGAAATCAAGTAATAATGTACAGAGATAGGAGGAGAGAGGTTTTGAAGGACAGTTAAAGATGGTCTTCCAAAATCAAGTGCATGGTTCATCTCAGCTGTTCAGATGGCTTTAGTAGGATGTTGGGAACTAACACTTGTTGAGTGTCTAGGAGGTATCTACTATATTGCTAGGGATTTTACATACAGTTCCTAATTTTCTTAGAACAATGGCTATATCATTATCCCTTTTTCTTCAGAAATGAAAACAGAGTTGTAAAGTGGTTAAGTTACTTGCACAAAGTCGCCAATAAGAGCAAAAAGTGACACCAATGCATTTGAAAAATGACCAGGTCAAATACTTGTTTCTAATCATTGAGCAGAAAT